CAGGATTTAGTATCGACGACGTGACGATGACGTCACTCCATGTAGCAGACGGTAAACTCGGCCTGGCAGCCTGCTCTCACCCAGACGTATGGTCCAGTGAAGCCGTAGTTGACATCAGCCACGCAAGGAGGTCTATCTCTGCCCTTCACCCCCATGGAAGAGACGTAGCAGGCTCCGGGCACTTGCTCAGAAAGGTAGGCGTGGTTGTCGCTCTTCAATGTCTTGTTTACACACTTGGCTGGAAAGGGAGAAAGAAATGTGTAAATGTGTGGGTTTTATGCCCCTTTCGACACTATTTGCTTATATTAGAGGCGGGACCTCCAAATCTAGCCCCCGTCTCCCATAGGACCAAGCCGAATGGCGCGAGAGCCTTTTAAACACCACAAAACGACCTACGTTCAAGAACACCAGGTCAGGGAGGCGAATCTGGGTCATCCGCTCCATAGTCCAGCATTATGCCTACTGAGCTAAAAGAGCAACTGTAAAAAGATAGGAGAGCCTTAGTTGTTTATTTGGGGAGGGGGGTGTAAGAGTAATTAATCGGCTGCTTCAGGGAGCAGCGACTGCTGACGTCTTCGGTACCGGGGAACAGCGACTAGCAATTCATTTTATTTCTTTGTTACAGTCCGATTACCTTGTTGTAATCACTTACAATATCGAATATAGTTAGACTAGATCAAATATCATACGATCTTTGACCAGGTACGTTACATTTCGTCTTGATTTTCATTAACCAGAGCTCAGTCAAATCACTCTGAAGTTGATTTTTTCCCGGCAAATTTCAAACGTAAGGTTTCTTCACAGAAACATACAGATACCCCCACCCATTCCCTCTATTTAGTAGACCTATACTATACAGTGATTGTCGTGCGCTATTGAACTGATTTCAACCTAAAAAGGGTGAAAAGTGAGAAGCACCTCCTTGTGACAATACTGTACATTAAAGGTTTGATAAAAATCAACAGCTCGCACACAGGAACGTAGGCTGATTTGTTTGATAGGGTAATCAAAGTGAAAAAGAACCGAATAGCGGTGCAAGCTTTTACAGAATAAGTAGGCGACACAATTAACGATAGCTTACTTCTTATTCGAGACGTTATCATTGAATTGTTAATAAAAAGTCATTTGCACATCAACCATTATGATCGAGAAAAAGGTCTCATTTAATTTTTATTTCCATTATCAGGAAAATGTAAATATAGCTTTTAAACATGCGGCTGGCATAATGGTCTCAACTTTTCAAATAGTCTCTGGTTATACCTCTGCTTTTCAACACTTTTGTGACTTTATTATTTTGCAAGTGCCGTAAAACGTTTGCTGAAACATAAAATAAACAAACAAACAACCAACCAACCAAACAAACAAACAAATAGACAACCAAACAAAGCAAAAATCCAACAAACAAACTTACTTTTCAATGTACAAACTTCCATCCAGGCGCAGCATCCATTCCATATGCCACCCATACCTCGTTCCTAGAGAAGCCGTAGCCCACTCCGAGTTTGCAGTTGCCTCTACTGTAGTCCTTCTTCACAGACACCAAAGTGATCCAAGCTCTAGGCAACACCGGCCTACTGAAGTACTTGTAGTCCAGACTCTCCAGCTTCAGTAGAGCACAACGTGGCTCAGGGTCTGTTTAAAAAAGTGAAAGTGTACGGGTTTAACATCCCTATTAACACAATTAAGTTATTCAAACCTCCATCTTAAACGTCTGTCTCCGATAGGACCGCGCGATATTGTTTGAGGGCCTCCGCAGGACGACCTGATTTCAAGGACACCCAACCTGGGATTCGAGCCAGGGCCACCCACTCCATAGTCCAGCATCTCACCAACTGATCTAACCTAGCGCCCTTGCAGTACTTGAGGGTGGGCGGAAGTGGAAAGGAAGGAGAATTTGCAATTGGGGGAAGGGGGGGGGGAGGGATGGGCAAGTTGTTGACTTTGAGATCGGGGTACGGGCGGGGGCATGCTAAAGTTATTGATAGTCGTATGTAACGGAGTGCTATATTATAGACTAGACATAGGCTAATTACGGCCTGCGAGTAAATTCCTGTCAGCGAGAAATTACAAAGAGGAGGAAGAAGAGGGAGAGAGAGAGAGAGAGAGAGAGAGAGAGATAGATAGATAGATAGATAGATAGATAGATAGAT